AAACAAAATTTCTGCATAACACCGACCTTAATTGCCTACCGAGCCCAAAGTAGCATCTGTTGTCAAGAGTTAAGGCGCTGGCCCAATGCAGGCTTGCTTTGCGTGCCTTGCTGACTTTAGTTTGCTTTGATTTAGTTTGAAAACTTGTGTGGCCGAATGACGGATTGAAACGCTGTCAAAGTAACCAGCTGTCTGGTTGAAAAGTCAATGTCTGTTCCCTTAACATTAGTTATTATTTTCCTAGAAAACTCTAGAAGATGTATCAAAAACTTTCAGACTTATTTTTATATTAATGCGAAATAATGTTTGTATCTAAAAGAAATTGGCCCGTAGTCATAGTCAAAATAAAGTCGACTTTAAAGTTAGTTGCAGCTTTTTTGACAGATATCCCATTGAAAATTATGTCAAAAAGCTGCAACTAACTTTAAAGTCGACTTTATTTTGACTATGACTACGGGCCANGACTTTATTTTGACTATGACTACGGGCCATTGTAATAATAATACATACATATGTATATCTACAGTTACTAAAAAAACTATAACTTAAAAAAGCGAATTACTTGAAGAAGNACTTTAAAGTCGACTTTATTTTGACTATGACTACGGGCCATTGTAATAATAATACATACATATGTATATCTACAGTTACTAAAAAAACTATAACTTAAAAAAGCGAATTACTTGAAGAAGAGAGCTATAAGAAGTTTTTTCTTCTCGTGTAAAAAGTGAGCTTTGCAATTTTTTACTATAATATAACGATATGTTAAATTTGATTTCGAATTGCTTCTTTTTTTAATTAAGGACCTGTGCCAAATGATAACAACAAGAAAATTTTGACGGATCAAAGTAAAAATCTGACATTTCTCGTGGTGAATAAGAACGTCAGAATTTTACCTAGCTCATGGGGCTAGGTAAAATTTTGACAGCTTATAACCATGTATACACATAATATTGCTTGGCGGTAATAGGGAGTGAACATGAAAATGAAAGCTGAAACAGCATAAAAAAACGTACGTTACTTGCAAATTATAAAATAAATATAAATTTTAAGAATTTCAGCAACACACAAAAATAAAGCTTTCGCACGAGCGTTTGTTTGGTTTTTCAACTGTCAAAATTTAACTCTGCATTTGGCACAGCAAAATTCAATTTATTTGTACACCATAGCAAATTTTCACACCCCGTCTCACCACGGAGAAAAAAGTTACCAATTGGCGGTGTACAAATAACCGACATTGCTGAACTCTGATAAATATCCGAGTTTATCTTGTTACTTCGCATATGCGAGCGTTGTTTTGTATCTCGGTTGCAAAAGAACGCGTCAAACTGTACGGCTTGCGCTTGGATTGGTTTTGCTGTTTTGCTTGACACACCTTGAAAACGACGAGCTACGGGCTACATCTGCCAAATTATTTTAGCACGTACTATTATGTAGATAATTATTTTGGCCGCGACAGGACTATACCGGGACTGTGGTTTTGGTCAGATTAGATTAAGGGCCGGTTATCCAATGTCTGGTTAACACCAATCTCCGGTTAAACATTGTTATCAACGTTACCGACTCCCTGTTGTATGCATGGAGTCGAAGACGTCGATAACGATGTTTGACCGCAGATTAGTGTTAACCGGACATTGAGTAACCGGCCCTAAATGGTTAAAAGTTTTTTCTTTGAAACGTGCACATACTAATGTACATAAATGAAGATGGCACTACTCAAGGCGAATTAATATAAGGTGATAGCAGGAGTACAAAAACAAAAATTTACATGTATTTTGTTTTTGCTTTGGCGGCATAAACTGTCAAAATCTGTAAGAGTGTGTGTAGAAATTCAAACAAAATTTTTCAATTTGATATCAGAAGCCGTGCGGCGAAACACATACACAAAATCAGCTGAGCTAGTAAGACCACCTTATATAAATACGCCTTGGCACTACTTTTGTGAATTTCCTTAGCGGGGTTTTTGGGAAATTCGAGAGCGCAGCAACCCTGAGTTTAGCAGCTGATTATTGGTACAGAATTTTTTAAACAAATTGCGAATTGTAATTTGTGCTCGGTGTAGAAAACGCGATTGTTTACATAAACGAGAATAAAGAAAAAATATATAAGTATATCTATATTGTTCTAAAGTTTGTGACACAATAAGAGCGAAAAGCCTATGTGTCGGGAAAGCTGGCGGTTTGACCAGTGAAGGAGTAAAGGATTTCGAAATATAAGTGGCGTAAACGAAGTCGTGCAAAATGTTCAATGGTTAGCAGCAGTACTAATAATAAGTATTTTTCATAATGGTTTATATATTAGTTATTTATTAATTCAACTTTTTTCGACTTCAGTTAAACCCAGTGAGACCTTCGACAAAACCTCTCATTTGATGAGGTTTTATTACAACTTTTTTTAGAAAAACTTGCAAATTATTGATTAATCTGATATATGTTTACGAATCTAAACATACATGTATTTATATTTCTATAAAAGGATGTAATCATAAAAATATATGGTAACTTAGTTTTTATGATTATTGATTTTTTTTTTACCGTGCCATTACTCAATAAAAAAATAACTACCGGCTTATGTATATAGAACTACATACACATGATTCAATAATATTATTATTGAATCATGCTACATACATATGCATCTATAAAAGACTTAAACCTATTCCGCATTCGTAAATATTCTCATATATACTCGTTTTAACGTCCATATGTAATAAAATGACCCTTCGTCACTTACGAACACATTGATATGATAAATCATCCACCTCGGAACTTCACTCATTAGCTATTTTAAAAAGTTTTCACAATGATTCAAAAATAGGTTTTTGAAATAATACTATCAGTCGTACTATGAAATAATACAGTAATATCAATCTGCGTTTGTAGAGAAAATAATTAAGGGATTCCCAAGACGTCGTAAGCATCGTAAAGTCGTAACGTTGTAAAATTAGTCAATGTGAAATAACAATTAAATGTGTTTTAGGGGATTCGCTGGGTATAAGAACAGCTAATTATCGCCCCGTTTCTGCATTAACTTCGCAATAGAGTCATTCTAGAGAATGTAAGAAAAAATTCGTATTTTTCTCCACTAGGATAGAGGAAATGCTTCTTTACTTCATATTTCTTGTTCTACTAACACTAGTGAGCACCAATATTAGGTTTTTGTTTTATTTTCAAATTGTGTAACGCTTAAACTTTTGTTATAAGTGGTAATATCAGTTTTCCCAAGAAAAAAAAAAATATATACATATATGGATACGTGATTAACTCAAAAATGGGGCGTTATATATTTTCGACAGTTTGAAAACACTTTGGCGTAGTTACAATGAGTTACAAAATTTGCAATTACATATTTATTTGATCGTTTTAAATTTTTAACGTTTTAGCGACTATGAAAAGATTTGCCTACAGGGTTACTTGCATACTACTTGCTCGGTGTACTAAACCCAAAGCTGGTGCGTCTGTTGTTGATATAATTTGAGTCAGAGCCAACACGTCATGCAGCTTCACTTTATTTCCGATTCACGTACATATTTTAGTTACATATGCATGTACTTGCATAGTTGGATTTACTAATTATCTTTCTATGAAAAAACAAAAAAGCTCTGATTCATAATAATTACTTCTAGGTAAAATGTTTAAGCGCTTAAAATCGAAATTCTTTTGGACGAATTATTTGTATGATTGTATATAAATTCATTCACATAACTACGGTCATACGCAATAAGCGCCTAAGTCGAAAAACCTGAATTCGAGAAAAAACGCATTAAACATTGGGATTGAAATGTTAACCTTATGGAGAAACCTTGTCTAGATGGCAAGATGGGGACTTCATGTACACATGGAAAAGCAGTTGCAGAATACGATAGCATATACATATAACTCAATTATTTCTTAAGTCGACTTAATTTCTAATTAGGCACAAAATTGTATATTTCTTTTTAGTGCTTATCAAGATTTGAACCTTTGGACATGAAAATTTATTTTTGCTCTCTTATCTTAATTATTTTAGTAAAGTGTTGTAATTAATATACATATATCACATTCGTTCATAGAAAATGGAGGACTTACAAAGGGTTGGGAATCAATTTCTTTCCCCACTACTATCGCATCTACGTAACCGAAATCGTAGTGTATGCAAATGTATTTGGAGTACATAAACTTAAAGGACAAATTCCACAAACACCTGTTGCGTTAACTCCTGATATTAATATTCGGTACTGAAATGGGGGCGAAAAAATATTTGCTTTTAAAATGTTGTAAAATGAACCTCTTCCGATGATTATACTTGTACTTATGTATTTGCACACATACATACATAGGTTCGTAGATATATATACGAAATTAGTGATTAGAAAGAAAAAACAGGTAATTAATTAATTACTTGTAATACCTAAGAAATGCAATCACATTTGATTTTTTTGGTATTGAATTTGTATTAACTGACTTGCATCATATTTATACAAACATTCATAGCTGCATAATATGCACATAGGAGTACGTACCCAAAGATAATTTACAAACATACTGAACATTGCAAAAACAGGCTCTAATAACTAGCTATATTAATTCAGGTTAATATAAACATGGAATATTATATTGAAAGAATTTGCTTTATTGTTCAACAAAAACGCGAAAAGTAATTATTTTTATTGTTAAGCAAACTTAAATAATACTCTATTGAATAAGATCATCTGTTGCTCGTTGTTAAGTGATTCCTCTTTTTAGTAACAAGTGGTATGTAAAGAATTCAACAAAATGTACGACTTAAACTATTGAACAAATTTAAAATATCAAATAAATCTCTTAATCGAAATACAGAAGAACGAACGTATTCAGAAATAAATAAATACAATTTCTTTGATATGTATTAACCTTGTATATTCCCTTATGGCTTCATATAATCAATTCTCATTTCATCCATTTCATTTATTATACGAATTTTAATACATACATATATACATATTTGTATTTTTTGAGAGTATTAATGCACATTAAGATACCCAGTAGATAAATTCAAGACTTAAAAGCCCCTCCAAAAGGCCTTCCTGAGAGACAATAGTCCTTCGACTTTGCATTCCTTCCTCCTTTCTTTTTTGTATGGCGTGGCACAAATTGAAAGTCTCCTACTTCATTACCTATAGTAAGGCTTCCAGAAGGGTTTTTTTTGGACGAAGTTCAGAAGGCCTTTTAGAGGAGTTTTCCTAAAGCTGCCTTTTTAATTCATAAAAATTGTATTTCTTAGGTATATTCGTTTAAAGTGCATACCCAATTCGGTTTATTGCAACTTAAAATACACTTTAAAATTCGTTTGGATTGCTAAGTAATATGAACTTATAAATTTGCGTCAATTGTAAATAGGAAAAGTTCTCCTAGAAGGCAAGCAGAGAGCACTTTTTTCAGCCCGTCTTGGATAAACCTTTTAGAATTGGTTCACTTAAGAAGGCCTACCTAAATTTTCTTCTGGGCATGTATACTTATAATCTGTTCATCATTTTCCAAACAAATAATAATCACTCCACACACATGGTCGCATATTTACCAAAACGACGTAGTGAAGTACAAGTGTGAAAACAAAAATTTACATGTACATACATACATACATATGTATAAGTAAATACATATGTATATATAAATAGTACCGCTCTTGATAAGTTTTCAATTCTGTTTTAAAGGGAATACTCTTGTATGTATGTAGGAAAGAACCAATCTGTAGAGTTCTTTCTGCATATTCCTTCACTAACCTCTGCTAGGTTACTTCAAGTCAGTGAAATATGTTAGAAATATTTGGATCCGGTTGGTTTTAGTTTTGAAATGCATGGAAGTTACATACATATATTTTAAGTCGTTTACATTCCACAAACTCTGTCTAGTTCACCACACAAAAGCTGATTACAAGCTTTTTTTTAACTGTTTTCAAACTGACTTTTTTGAATGGTTGTTAATGTGATTGAAAATATTCCGCTTTATTATAAGTTTAATTTTCGCCCGAAGTCGTTCACCTTTCGCTTATGTGTATTCACTGCGGATGGATGAAAAATTTTCGGTTGAATTTGTTTCCGAGCAAAATTCAACAAAAACGCACTTGGAAACGGAATGCCTTCTTAATGTTTACGTTAATTGATTTCGACAATCTTTTAACTTTGCATTTACCAAAAAATGAAAATAGAAATTAAATTAAATCTTTTTTTTTGTAGGGTGCTACTTATAGCTAAAGCAACAAAATGCTTTTTTTTTATAAACTAAATTTAACATACCACAATTTAACCTGGCTAAGAATCTTACTTATTTTTTTTTTTAATGTTCCTTATTTTTAATCTTCCCATTACATAGTTCTCCAGCGCCTTTTGGGAGGGGATACACCACCTAACAAAGTTCTTGAAATCAAAGGCGAATCATTGGGAAGCTTGCTGGTAATAGGACGGGATGAAGGTATGGTACTGTACTCGCCACCATTCAATTCTGTAGATAAGAAAGCGGGCTATGAAATTGTGCTCCAACGCCATGTCAATGATCCCGCAAACACATGCTTCAGCTTATATCGTTCACCCCTTCAACAGGACGCCGAAGATAGGTTCAACGCCTTCGTACATCGCTTGCCTGTGTTCGTTACTATCGTAAAGGAGGTAATATTATCCATACTGTGAAGTAATAAAATTTAAGTAATTTCTTAATTTAAACTTAAAAAAGAATATGAAAGCATATAACTGAATTAATAAAAGATTTCGCTTTTTTAATCCGCTATTTTATTTTTCTATTTAATTGAAAAATTTAAAATCATATCTCCCTACAGTTTTACAACGTTAACGGGCTGCAAAAAGTATGTGATGCGTTGGCAGAAAATCCCTCCTGGTCATTGGCACACTTGGTTGCCTATTTCAATCTCGTTGACTACGTAAGTAATCCGAAAGTATTGGAATTCATCGATTATGCTGATCATGTGCATCTGATGTCGCCATTTCAGGTATAAGTTTTTGCATAATCGAATAAAGATAATGTAATATTTATAACGTTATGTATTGTTATATATTTAGCTTGCCATAAAAAGCGGAAACAATGAAATGGTTAAGACGTTGCTGCCGCTTTGTAAAATGGAACATCTGGATAACAATAGTAACTCCGTATTTCATTATGCCGCTAGTACAAACAAAGAAATCATAAACGTAAGTACAAAAAAACTGCTGTTTTAACCTCCGCAAAACCAGGTAAAATTCAGCTGTTTTTCAAGATTTTTTTACCAGCTCATCTTTGCCTTTATAGGCCTGAGCCATAGTCGGAGGTTAAAAAGACCTTCGGTTTAAAACGAAATTTTAATTTAAAAATTAAATCACGCATAGTCGTGTTAGAATAAGTTTTGTTTGGCTATGGAATGAGGCTACACGGGATAATTTATATGCATGAAAAAAATGGAGTAGAACTTTTAAGAAATGTGAATACATACTTTAATAAGGCCAGCTTGTGTTATCTGGTTTATACACTAATGATAATCGTTCTTGTGATTTATATTAAAAAAAAAATACCTTTATAAAATAGGTCCATAAAAATATAATTAAATGCATACCCGTTAATACATTTTGTAATATTAGATGGAAGAGTTCATATTCCTTATTTTTTTTCGCTCCAGTTGTTGACCGCAAAAAGTACAGAAAATCTCAATCACATAAATTCGGATGGTTTTCCGCCATTACATTTAGCCTGTTTGTCGGATAAACCCGAATGCGTAAAAGCTTTACTATTAGCTGGCGCAGATGTTAACTTAAATGCCAAGAATATGAGTAAAATATACAAGACTAGTACACCTACTTCGGTTGCGGAATTTCTCAAAACCAATGCAAATAAGCTATACACTCAGGATATGAAATTCGGCGGCACTCCGTTGCATTGGTCTTCTTCGCGTGAGACATTACATGCGCTCATTAAGCAGGGATGCGATGTCAATGCCACAAATTTTGACGGACGCACCGCCTTACATGTGATGGTAAAACTTCTTTTTTAAATTTGCATGATTAAATAAATCAAAACGCTAGTTACAACTTCTAATTCACAGATTGCTCGAAACCGTTTTGAATGTGTTGTTACACTCCTAGCTCATGATGCTGATATTGATGTATTCGATAAAGATGGAAACACCGCTTTACACATTGCCATCGAAAAGAAATTGGTACCTATCGTGCAATGCCTAGTGGTTTTCGGTTGCGATATTAATTTAAAAAATAAGGATGGGAAAACACCGCGACACATGGTTGGTAGTGATTCAAACGGCGGTAAAGAAAGTGAAATACTCTATATTTTGCATTCAGTTGGGGCTAAACGGTGAGAAAATTTTATTTTGTTATGATTTGTTATGCTCAGATGAAGAAGCCAAATTTTCTTACATGTTACATTACTACCTATTTTGTATAACTATCATCAATACCCATTTCTTTTTAGATGTCCAGGATCGAGTACAAAATGCCCAGCTGGTTGTAACGCTAAAGGCTCCTACAATGGTATACCACCTGAGTCCCCAGAACCAGTCGAGCAACGTGAGCATATTGAAAGTATGCTGGCATCAACTAGCCGCCAAGCAATGGATGGTCTCTTTGGTTCATCCTCTAATGGTAGCGCATTGACACCGGAGTAAGTTTCAAATGCCAACCAAATTACGATTTTCGATCAATAAAACTATCTTTCATTACTGGCAGGCCTACAGTTATTATTGATACTGAAATAGAACAAAAGGGCCAAAGTATAATGGATGCGTTGCTCGGAATGTTTACCACCAAAGTAAATAACGACAGCAAAAAAGGTAGAATTCAAATGTATAGTATTTAATTCTAGTAAATAGTTAAATTGTGCATTGTATACTTTAGTATCGCCTAGCAACAGTCTTGAAGGAGAGGGTAGTGGAGATGCGAGCGCAGCTGCAACTCCAACTACACCAGCTTCAATCGGCAGCGAATCTAGCAATAAAAGCGAAAAACCTTATGGCCGCGGACGTTTATTGTGCCTGGATGGCGGCGGTATCCGTGGCCTTGTGCTTGTCCAAATGTTACTCGAAATCGAAAAGCTCTCACAAACTCCCATTACTCATATGTTCGATTGGATTGCTGGCACTAGCACTGGCGGCATTTTAGCACTTGGTCTCGGCTGTGGTAAAACAATGCGCCAGTGTATGGGGCTGTATTTGCGCATGAAAGAACAATGCTTTGTCGGGTCACGTCCCTATCCAAGTGAATTGTTCGAAAATATATTGAAGGATAACTTAGGTGAATATACAGTAATGACTGATATCAAACATCCAAAAATTATGATAACCGGTGTAATGGCTGATCGCAAGCCGGTAGATTTGCATCTGTTCAGAAATTATCACAGCGCCAGTGATATCCTAGGAATAGTTACGCCAATAAGTAAGTTTGATTTTTAGTCAAGACTATCCTTATCTTAATTGCAAATGAACTTACTTTTTTTTCAGACAATCGCCGTGTACCGCCCCCACCTCCGGAAGAGCAACTAGTTTGGCGTGCAGCTAGAGCTACTGGCGCAGCACCATCATATTTCCGGTAAGCAGATATTCAGTACGTCGCGATTTTAATAATTTTCCAATAGTGTTACACAAAACAAGAAATTTTTTAACACCTTGAATATTTTTTAAAGTCTAGAACCATTATTTTATTGTTCTATTTTCAAATGCTAACTCTATGATATAACCTTATCTACAAACGTTAAGTTCGTGAGTTGCAACTTTTTTAAGATGTTTAATTAATTATTGCTATTTTTATCTTATGTTTTGAATATTTGATTTACTTTTCTGCTTGCGTTATTGATAGTTCTTTAATTATGTTATTTGTGTACATGTAAAATAATGAAAATAAATCTTTGTTCCTACTCAAATTCTTACAGTGCGTTCGGACGTTTTCTCGATGGTGGATTAATCGCCAACAATCCGACTTTGGACGCTATGACCGAAATTCATGAATACAATATGGCACTGCGCAGTGTTGGACGTGAAAAGGAGGCAATTCCGGTAAATTTTTATAACAAAAGCTATCTAGCTCGCGAGGCCTCATAATACTTTGGCCATATTTGCAATACAAATATTATGTTGAGATCGACTAAAAAGAAATTTACTAATCCGTCATTTAAAATCTCTTTTGCGAGCGTTATAGCTTATTTCAAAATGACTAACTTACAGCTCCGTACAATGTAACCATTGAGAGTTATTTTGCACCCTCGCGCATTTGTGCTTGTAACAGCCTGAAGGTATGTTCACTAGGGTGGAGCGGATACAAGAAAATGTTCGATTCGAAATTCTGGGGCATCATTGCCTTTGAACGTCAAAGAATAATAGTCTAGTTAGTCTATACTTAACTTACGTAAGATATCGTCAATGATTACTCAACACTTCAACTTAGGCAGAAGCGAAAATATTTTGTTTTTGTATTTTCCTTTTCAGCTGATAGTCACTTTGCCGACTTATAAGCCACATCAAAAAATTCCTGAACAAAAATATAATGCGTTGGCCAATATATGGTCCCCTACAAAACAATACCATGCTGAGTCACCTTAGACTTAGCCAGACTTAGCATAATATGGTTTGGAGGCGTCGATATTAGGTTACGTTACGTAAATTAAGTCTAGACTAACTGAGCCTTAGGCCAAAAAATAGTTGAAATCAGAATCTAGAATTGTCCTTGATTTTTAACACCTTTTTGTAGAAGGTGTTCATTTTCTGCATGTAAAAACAGTAAAGTAATAACCGATTTCCAAACAAATTTTGACGTCCAAAAAATTTCGAAACTTAAAATTTTTTGTTCCGCTCCACCGAAATGTTCACACTGTGGTAATTTACGGTTCATTTGTAATTTATGAGCAAAATTGTTGAAATTGAGTAAAACTGTATATATTCACATTACAAGACAAATTACTTTGTTTCGATCAAATTACTTCACATAAACCAAGTGCATTAACATTTTCTTTCATAATTTCTATAGAGATGTTATTAGGGCGTATACGTACGAGTGTGTGGTTTGTACTTGATTTCAAACAAGTAATTTTTAGCAAAAAAAAACAACTTCAACTCCCATATAAAAAAAAATATATATATATGTATATGTATCTCATGATCCAGTGATCGGATCTTAACCAGATAAGTATGGGACCACCTCTGAGAAATCGGTTGACGTGGTCCAAAGTTATGCGGTAACATACTTAAAAAAAAAATAAAAATAAATAAAAGTAAAAAAAAATTAAAAAAATAAAAATATTCCGACGAACTGATAACCTCCTCCTTTTTTGGAAGTCGGTTAAAAAAAATGTATACATATATATATCTCATGATCCACTGATCGGATCTTAACCAAATTAGTAAGGGACCACCTCTGAGACACTACCTTTCCGATGCAAAAATCGAAATCGGTTGACGTGGTCCAAAGTTATGCGGTAACATACATAAAAATAAAAATAAAAATGAAAAAAATAAAAATATTCCTACGAACTGATAACCTCCTCCTTTTTTGGAAGTCGGTTAAAAAAAATAAAAAATGGTTGTATAACTTTAGGCATTTTTTTAATTTCCTTAAGAGTGGGGGCTAAAATAAATAAAAAATCCTCTTTTTCTTCATTTGGTACCTGATTTATGATAAATTATCTCATTTCTGTTTAATTTATTGATAGACTTTACAAAGCGAAATTACTTGATTTCATCATGATTTGCTTGTAAATTTAAAATGAGCCCGTAAATTACGATGATGTGAGCATGCTTTTAGTCTACAATAACCCGTCAAAAAGCTGTAAAAACTGTAGCCTCACTTTGAGGCTTATGAGTAACCTGTATCTCTAGGTTATACATCCCTAATAAGATCTTAGCCTGACGAAGACCCGTGATCTTTCGCCAGTTTGGTATTTTCTTTTAAGAGCACTTCCTTTAGCGTGCTGGGAACTAACGCAAAGATCAGTGTATAATATTCATGTTCTCAGCCAGGGCATCATGCTTCTCAATACACTCCAGGACCAATGAGGTTTTGATCTCGAAGAATGATAGAGCCAAAAGTGCCGCCTTACTATCGTTCAATATAAGAATCCAGTCATTCGATAATTCTCTACGAAGGTTAATTTCTGTTCGTGTTCAAAAATGGCCGTCGCGCTCGTACGTATTCTACACTTATCAAATATCTATAGAAGTCATGCAGACAAGTGTTTATTTATGGGAAGCAATTTGATCGAATCATGGATGAATGCAAAAATAAATTGATTTAGCCATTATGTCGGTCCAGGGGTTATGTTGGGTTGAAGTGACCAACCCCGTATTTTTGAGCAGTTGTTATATCACGCAGATCGTAGACACTCTCCTACTGCAGCCGGTTGGTAGCCTATGAGATCAAATATTTACCGTATTCTCACTTCAGCTATGTTAGTTAAACCCTCGAAAAGTTCTTAAACCTCGAACTTTCTTTTTTTACAGAGTGCGGAACATCTGCCTCAAGATTTCTAGTTCTTTATTTCTGCAGCTTCTGTAGAAGTCGTTATGGCAGGCTCATGGCTAAGTCCTTTATGCCCAGAATGAGAAGACCCTTCGACCGTTTCTCGTTCCATTCTAGTCATCTAAGTTTTGTCATATTCTACTCGTAGGATGAGCGTAGCGAGCGCCCTGCAACTACCCTTCTAAGATTGCGAAATCGCACTGATGTGCCTTCTCTTGTAAGTTCATTCGCCTTCTCTTCTTCTTATTTGGCACTGTAACCGCCTAAGCGATTTTGGCTCGTCAGTCGTTTTCTTCTGTGCCAACTGACGTTAATTGGAAATGCCAATTGAATCCAAGTTCTTCTCCACTTGGTATTTCCATCGTAGAGGTGGGTCTCCCTCTTATTCTGCTATCACTGGTTCCGAGTTTAATACTTTCAGAGCTGGAACGTCGGTGTCCATTCGAACGACATGGCCAAGCCAGCGGAGCCGCTGTTGTTGTTAATGTTGTTGTTTTAACAGCATACAAATTCCCCAAAGAGATTTTGGGGAGTGTTGCTGGAGTGACAGTCCTTGGCCAGATATAAATCTGGGTCGTTCCGGTTACGTAGACCCGACTGTCATGGGAATGCGGAGCCACTGTATTTTAATTCGCTGCACTATGTCCATGTCGTTCTAAAGCTCATCGCTCCATCGTCTGCGGTACTCGCCGTCGCCACCGCATAAAGGCCCGTAAATCTTCCGCAAAATCTTTCTCTCGAACACTCCAAGAGCCGCCTGATCGGATGTTTTCATTGTCCAAGCTTCTTCGCCATATAGCAGCACAGGCATGATGAATGATTTAAAGAGTGTAGTTTTTGCACGTCGAGAGAGGACTTTACTTCTGACCTGCCTATTCTGCGTTGGATTACATGCTGACATTATTATCGGTGTTAATGCTGGTTCCCAAATAATCGAAATTTTCCATTTTCTTTAACTGTCAACTGTGAGTGCCAAGGCGCGAATGCGCTGACTGTTTTTTTATAACACGAGATACTTCGTCGTGTCCTCGTTGACCACCAAACCCAATCGCTTTGCTTCCTTATCCAACTTGGAAACGGCAGAACAGATTTCGCGGCTCTTGTTACCGATGAGGTCGATGTCATCGGCATACCCCAGCAATTGCACGCTCTTCATCATGAAAGGTCTGAACCCGGCTTGGTAGCGAACGACTCGGAAAGGTCTTTCCCAATTCAGACGGAGAACGTGGTATTGCTCAACGTAGTTTTCCATAGCCATATGCGATTCGCGGGGATGCCAAATTCAGACATCGCGGCGTATTGTCGACTCCTTTTAGTGCTGTCGAAAGCGGCTTTGAAGTTGACAAGTAGATCGTAAGTGTCGATCCTTTCCTCCTGGGTCTTCCAAGACTTGGTGCATTGTGAATACCTGGTCTATGGTGGATTTGCCAGGTCTAAAACCACATTGATAAGGCCCAATCAGTTCATTGACGATGGGTTCCAGTTTTTCACACAATACGCTCGATTAGACCTTGTAACCTATGCTTAGAAGGCTGATCCCGCAGTAGTCGGCGCGTATCGCGGGGTCCCTTTCTTTTGGATTGGGCGGAGCACAATTAAATTCCAGTCGTGCATGTACCTTATCAACTCCTCGTCGCCGTACCTGAATATCTCAGCTGGCAGGCTGTCAGCTCCGGCAGTTTTGTTGTTTTTCAAGCGCGCTGGAACATCGACTCCGTGATCATCGACTGGCGGCTCAGGTTCGTCTTCTCCACAGCTACCATTCAGTAGGGTGGAAAAGTGTTTCCTCCATAATTTAGTACGTTGCGGACATCACACACTGGGTCGCCGTTGTTGTTCTTAAAAGAGTTCGCCCTGGTCTTGACACCTTCCCTAAGTCGCCTAACTCTCTGGTAGAATTTTCCGTTTTTCCTGTCGGCCAGCATTTCAACCTCTTCGCACCCACGTATTTTGGCCTCTCTCTTCTTATTGCGGCAAATACGTCTCGCTTCCCTCTTCAGTTCCCTATAGTGGTCCCACATAATTCGCGTTGCGCCCGATCGCAGCGTGGCCCTGTAGGCGGCATATTTTTTCTCTGCAGCTTCTTGGTCGCTGAAATCCGACTAAGGGTTTGTTCACACAGAAAGCCGACCGGAGCCGAGCGAAGCAAGGCGGAACAAAGCGCAGCTGCTGATGTTTACATTGAAAGAAGCGAAGCGGGGCTCTTCTCATGGACTCTGCTGCAAAGATACCACAAAACTTACCGTCAATGAAAAGCGGTAATTAATACTTGCTCAATTTTATTCAAAAGATTCGTTTTAAAATTCGGTTTTATTTGAATATTTTGATATCTCGTTTGCAGCGGCGTTATTATGAAACATAAAAATTAAATAGAAAATTCAAAATCAAAAACTGCTTTGCTTTCAGCGCCAAAACGCTTATCAAAAAGCTTGCGTATGAACACTTTCATATTGCAATTTGAAAGCTTCACTCAGCTCGGCTCGACTTCGCTCGGCTCGGCTCCGCTTTCTATGTGAACGTACCGTAATTCTTCGGCGGCGGTACTTAATGGGCGGACTATGTGGTTCCACTGTCCGCATATGTCGGATTGTTGAAGAGTGCTCTCTGAGAGCAGGTGTGAGAGTTCAGTAGCGAATGCATTGGACGTCTGTTGTACTGCAGCTTTTCGACATTAAGCTTTCTTTGCATTTTTGTGCGCACATTTTTTGCTGCATAGAGGCGTGTGCGTATCTTGGCTGCATCAAGTACCTACGTCTAAAACACAGGAAGCCTGCCTTTCGTCTATCACAGCATGATCGATTAGGTTTCCCATTTTTCGATCTGGAGACAGCCACGTAGCTTGATGGATGTTTTTGTGCTTGAACCTCGTACTGCGTACTACGATGTTACGGGCCCCGGCGAAGTCAATCAGCCTCAGTCCGTCTTCGGATGTTTCATATCATATTAGCTCTGCATTAAATGTCTGAAGATAGATAGATTTGGTAGAGGATGTGCACTGCCACCTGAGGTATATTGCGCCCTCAGAGCTCCTCACAACACCTCGTCCAGCCCTAGTGCTCTGATTAAGCTCATCAGTTTCGAGGGCTGTAGAGAGTGAATGTGTTCTTCCCGCCACCGCATCACATTCTAAGAGGAGATGCCGTGAGGTTTCTGGTACCCTGTCGCAGTAGCGGCAGGAGTTGTCTGCGCTAATCCCTAGGGTGTCCATATGGGCCCACAACCTGCATTGACCTGTTAGCAGTCCTGTAATAAATCTCAAATGAGTCTTGTAGAGTGTGATTAGTTCTCTGGATCTTCTAGGGTTATAGCTTCCTAGAAGTTCTTTTGCCTGCGTTAGTCCAGACGTGTTCTTCCAGTGTGTCCTACTTAGGTGTCGTTCCTTTGCTCTTAACTCTTCCCAGATAGTTTGAGGGCCGGCTACTAGGAAGGGTTCTGTTCCCATAGGTGGGATGGCTGCTGCTTCTCTAGCTAGGCTGTCAGTTTCCTCGTTTCCCTGTATGCCTTTGTGACCAGGGACCCACATCAGATGTACTGTGTCGAGTTCCCCCAGGGCGATCAGTCTCGTTACACATTCCCATACAAACCGTGAATTAATTTCACACGACGATACGGCTTTTCGTGCAGCCTGACTGTCGCTGCAGATGACAATGAGCTGTATTCTTGATGGTCTCTGCAGAATTACTTCCGCACAAATATTGATGGCCAAAACGTCCGCCTGAAAGGTACTGCCGTAGTTCCCCAAGGAAATGCAGATTGACCTTAGGACCATGTATTCCTGCCCCTATACCTTCGTCGGTTTTTGAGCTGTCTGTGACCCACCTTTGGGGTGGGCCCGAAAGGTGTTATCTAAGATTGTCTCGTTTCAGGTTACCTTGCTTCCTAGTTCATTTATCGTAACGATGTCATCCCTATTGAGCTGGGAGATAGGAATCTTGATTCTGATTTCCTCTACCAGTCTGCTCGGAATCCCATTGCCTTTTCCAGTTCCCTTCCCCATGAAGTTGAGTAGGTCCTTCTTGGCAGTTTGTTCTGTCACTATGTGGAGTGGCGACAGGTCCAGGATTACTTCCATGGGCCGCGATGGGACGGGTACGCATGGCACCTGTTATACAGGTGCACGCCAGTCGCTAAAGCCTGGAAAGCGATTCCCTTACTGTTATGAGAGCAGTCCTCTCGGACCATGCCACTGCTCCATATGTAACTATTGGCCTGACAATCATTGTGTATATCCACCGCTGATTGTAGGGGCTGCACCCCATGATTTGCCGGCCAGTCTTCTGCACACCATTAAAGTTCGTGTGGCTTTTGTTATGGCGTACTCAACGTGTGGCTTTTGTTGCAACGTTTTTTTTTTTCTATCAAAGGCGGTGAGGTGGTAGTCCTTATATGGTTGTCTATAACCTTCTCCATCGCCTTGATAAGGAGTGATGTTAGGCTCATCGGACGAAAAGATTTGGAATTTTGGGAGTTAATTTCAAAAAGGCTCCCCTCCACGCCTGTAGGAAATAGGCCAGTGCCAGACTTTCCCTCGTGGCATTGGTTAGGATCGTGGTTAACAGATCCAGTTCTTTCTGGAGTAAAATCGGTCATAGGCCATCCATCCTATGGTTTTTATAAGGTTCAAATGAATCCAAGGCGCATCGTACGCTCGACCAGGTGAACATACGCTTTTCTCTCTTCCACTCCTGCCCCTAGCTAATGCTCTGTGCAATCTGGCCGCCTCCAGAGTGGAGGTGATGCCTTTACAGAACATTCTTAAGCTGTTTATTTTGGCTTCGCGAATCTCTTTATTATAGGTGGTTTGGGCTGACAAGTAATCGACCCGATTCTCAGTACGTTTTCTGCGCTTAAAGAGTTTCCTGACCTCTTTTTGGTGACCTTAGACGTTGGAGTTCATGGTTTACCTTTTGGTGAAGTCAGCCGACAGCTTGATGTATAAGCGTTGGTTATTGCACCATTTAAGCTGCCGATCTTCACCTCCAGTTCCACCCATCGCTTAACCCTATTTTCTACGTTTGTGGTGCTGAGCTGTCAGGAGACCCAGTGCATAGTCCTGGCCTCTGTCTATACACCATGGGATGAAGATGGTACATTGTGAGTTGGTGGAATCTCATCTTCTCTCCTGGTGTACAGCGCTGGTCCTTCTTAGCCGTTGAGCATCGGTACTGTTTGTCACAGCCAATCGACAGTTCCTCGTCTCTGAAGTCCACCACAATTAGGTACGCTGTAAAATATACGCCCATGTTAACAAGCGAGTCCATCCCCTCAGAACTTCATCCATTAAGGTGTCCTGCAGTGTCGTAAGTTGCTCTGGAGTGAGGAATACGGCGGGGTGCTCGTGGGGTAACGCCGCTACCCAGGTTGTCCTCATTGCATCTGTGTAGTACGATTGCTGGTTATGGCCAGCTTGTCTCTAACCGCTTGTCCGATCCCAGTTTCTCAGAAGCGAACCCGGCAGGTGAGTTCTTTGCGCTTTGCTGGTTTGTTACTGTTGGCACACGTTGCTTGCGGGTGCGTTTGGCGGCAGGAGATTTTTGCTCTTATGGTATCTTGGCTCGGTTATGAAGCATTTAAAATGCAACATTTAGCACTTTGGAACATATTTTTCGAAGAGCGTTCATGCTATCGCGTTTAGCCAATGTACATTTACGCGAGTTCGAAATCGTATGCTTTTGACAAACAGCCGTGTTCCAGTCGCTTATTCAGATCCGAATCTATCACGGTGAAGATAATGTGCAAAAAACCCTACTGAAAAGGCTAAGAGAAATTTTAAACCAAAAATTCAATACAAAAACTTGAATTGTTTTAACCGTCACCGAAAATTTGTTTGTGTACATTAGACTGCATCACCAAAAAAAGTTGCGGTTTTTCCGCCGGGATTACAAAATTTATTATATCTTAAGACGTCCACCAAAATATTTCGGAAAAATATTAAGATTTAAGTGAGCTGGGCCGATTTCAAAATACCTCCAAAAATGGAGTTTTTTATGAATAAAAATAGTTTCTTAACGAACTTTTTGAAAAAAGTCCCCTCAGATGACAAAACAGATTAAGCTTAAAAAATCTGCACGAAAATATTTAAAAATCTTTTCAACGGAATCATAAGCATGAGATTTTTGATGCTGTTTTTTTACTTTTTTCAAAGATTGATTTACGAAAAACTTGAATAACTGATACGGTTTTTTTTTAACTTTTTTCAAAGATTGATTTACGAAAAACTTGAATAACGGGGTCAAAACTATTCTGATTTAGACTTATGGGATCTCAGTAGAAAGGTATTTTCACACTGTTTTTATTTCTGTCCAAAAAAAGTCATTCGTGTCCCATTTTTTTTCAAACACCAACACATCTTAATTCAACTTTGAATGACGTTCGTTCATCCTACTTTTCTCTTTAATCCTTTGAATGAGTTTATTAGCAAAGAAATAAAAAGGGTGAGAAAATACCTTTCCAATGACACCTCTTAAGTCTAAATCGGAAGAGTTTAGGTTCAGTTATTCAAGTTTTTCTTATATCAATCTTTGAAAAAAGTTAAAAAACAGCATCAAAAATCTCATTATTACGATTCCGTTCAATTTTTTCTTATTTTTTTTTTAATTGTTATGCAAATTTTTTACGCTTGAACTGTTTTGTCATTTGAGGGGATTTTTCAAAAAAAAATCTTTAAGAAACTATTTTTATTCATAAAAAACTCCATTTTTGGAGGTATTTTCAAATCGGTCCAGCTCACTTAAATCCTAATATTTTTACGAAATATTTTAGTGGACGTCTTAAAATATAATAGATTTTATAATTCCAATGGAAAAATAGTATCGATTTTTTTTTTTGTATGGGGAGTGATGCAGTCTAATGTACATACATAATTAATGAACTCTTCTTGTACGCTTTACAGGTTTCTATTGTAGTCTCTCTTGGTACCGGTCTGATACCAGTAACCGCACTCAAAGATATTGATGTATTCCGCCCGGAAAGTATATGGGATACCGCTAAATTAGCCTATGGGATCTCAACAATTGGTAAGTGTACACATTTAGCTACTTTTGTGCTCGTACATTAAATAAGGCTGATATATTTATTTTCAAAATGGTTAGGCAACTTGCTCGTCGATCAAGCAACGGCTTCAGATGGTCGTGTCGTTGATCGGGCACGTGCTTGGTGCAGCACAATCGGAGTACCCTATTACAGGTAGATACAACTAAAGTTTTTCCAGTATTTTTTAGCCTTACTAATTTATATCTCTGGCATCAGATTCAATCCCCAATTATATGAAGATATTGCTATGGATGAAAAGGATGATCAGAAATTAATCAATATGTTATGGCATGCTAAGGCCTACATGCACAACAATCGTAACAAAATAATAGAAATGATTAATTTATTAAAATAGCACATAAGAAAAATTTAGACCGTTTCCAATATATCCATTTAAAGTAATTTCAAAAATGTTTAGATATAATAGTTATTTGTTAGGGTATGTACGCAGTTACAAATAAAATAGTGCAGCTGGTTCTTCACAAAAAAAAACGAGGCGGTTTAAAAATATAATCTTGAATTTTATGAGCAAGTGCTTTAAAAAATTCTGTGGCACCTAAATTCACACAAATGCAAAGCTGCATATACAGGCGTACATACATATGTAAATCTTTTTTAAAATAACGCAGAATATCTTAAACTAGATAAGATACATAGATGGCAGAAGCCCAAGCGACTTTCCCAAAATACATATTTACCAAAATTGCCAACTGTCAGTCACCTGTTAGGTAAGCGTTTGCTATACGTATGACAATATCTTAGTAACGCCATCTACAAAATCGAAAGTAAATCGACTACTGCTAGTACCAACAGTTAAAATTATATTTATGTACATGTATTTTAGATTTTGATATGAGCCCAATTCGATACGAATACGAATACGAATTCACAAATGTCACTTTCGAGCAACTTGTGAACCAACCGACTTACATATAAAACCATCAAAACGCGAACAAATTTGAATATGACAATTTTAGCTGGGCTGAGTCGGATATATATTTCATGTACATTTGTGTAGCCTATAATAGCGGCTTTATTATATCTTTTAGGTTCGATAAAATTCAAAGAGAAAATATTACTATATTTTTTAATTCAAAGATCATCTCAACGCCTTTATTCTACTTTTTATTGTTCTGCTTACGAAGAAACTTTATTAATAAGTCTAATCAAATACATACTGTGACTGAAACAAGTGACCCCGTATTGATTTTTTTTTTTAATATTCGTAATGTTTTTCGACTTTTTTTTAGTTTTTTCTAAAAAAATACCTTTCCATTGAAGTGCAAGATTCAGCCGGCTAAAAAATCATGTTGAGTTTTTAGATTTTTTTTATACTGCTTTTTTTCTTTTTGTTTTATGTAACAAGTGCAATTTACAAAAACTGGCGTTGATTGTTTTTAAATTTTGTTGCGCATTTTATTTCATAAGAAATTCATGCTTTTATGAAAAGTTCGTCACCCAAAAAAATTTCAAAAATCAATTAATTTCCTAAATTTGGTGTTAAGTTTGAAACTGTGATTTATATGGCTTTGGTTAAAGCTTCAACGGTATTTCTATAGCAAAATAACAACAAAAAAATAGCTCGATAAATCAGTATGGTATTCAAAAAAATCAACACGTGGTCACTTGTTTGAGTCACTGTATGTATATATGTATGTACGTTAGAACTACAAAAGATTTCGAAAAAATTATATTTAAATTTAGCCTATTATCGTGAGCAGCAATTTAATTGAAACTAGATACTATTTTAAACAATTTTATCATTTTATATCAAATATTTTTCTAGTAGTTTATTATAAATGAATTATTCTTTTTTCTTGTCAGTATATATTTAATGTTGTATAAATTTATCCAAATGCCTATTTGAATTTCATAGAAAAACTTGAAAAATACCTTTGTATGTGTTATAACAATAGTTTCGAATCGCATGTATTTATTTCAAAGATGCCAAATGCTACCACTTAATTGAATGGATGTTTATATTAAAATACACATTTTGTAGCAAATAAATTAAATTTACAATCAATAAAAAACTTTTAAGTAGCTAAGTCAAGCTTTTTTCATTATTTCTTTACTTTTGTCTATTCCATTAGCGTAAGGCATTATAAGTATTTGGGCATAGTTTATATATTTTTATAGTAATTGTGTTAACTAATATAATAGTTTGTGATAAGAAAGACTTTTAAAACTGTTTTTGTGTTTTTGGAGCTTTACATTTCCTTTTGGTATCACAAATATGCAAGCTGTAATGCAATAAGAAGCTCCTATTTTAATTCAATTTATTGCAATACATATATGTATATAGTAAGATATAGTAAAAATTATCATCTGGGTATTTATGTCGATGTATATATTCATTAAATTTTAAATAGAATCATAACGGAAATTCAAATAAAAGAAAAACGTGTTTTCAAATGATTTTCGCAAGAACTAACAAGCACCAAGGACATGTGAGCCACGGAAAAATGGCAAATAAATTTATTACTTTACTCCCTTTTATTTTCAGACAAACCTCTAGATGACCCGAGATGTACCGAATATGCAATTTATAATATTTAGATACATTTGGAGCAAGAAATTTTGGTGCAATCTTCCACATTTATCATTTTGAGCAAGAAATACCGATTATTTTTTCTGCATATTTTTAAAAGCAAAACAACACAAGCATACGTGAAAATTACTATGTTTGAATAGATACTCGGGAGTTATCCTGCAGCAACTTGCAGGAGAGTATTCTCTCTCCAATACAACTATTTTCAAAAGGTACGCGAACATAAAAATTAGTTGCGTTCGATAACAAAATTAGCCAACACCAGCCAACAATCAAAAACAAGAGAGTAAGCGAAAATTCTATCCCAAAGAGATGAAAAAGCAAAAAAGTAAACGAACAGGAAATTAGCCATTGCTTGCAAAAACCGGAAGAAGAAGACACATCAGTTGACTTGAGTTGCGTTCGACAAGTCAAAAATTTGTAATAGTGTTCCAAATTTTTTACTGGATAGCGTTCGATAACGGCAAAAAATATCCAACACACAAAAATTGAGAGAGCAAGCGTTCATTTTGATGCAAGAGAAGCGTTCATTTGGTCTGTTCCTTTGAACTTCGGACTAAAACCTGTGGAACTGTCAAACTACAATTTTACGCTCTCAAATGAGAGTAAAAGGAGAACAGATGCAGAAGTGCATTGGAACGCAAAAAGCACTATTTCCTGTAAAAACGTCAGACGGTTTGTTTACATGTCATTGGACTACACTGATTTGGCTGAAATATCACTAAATAATTATTAAAGTCTATACATATTCAAATATTTCGTTGTTTACTTCCATTTTTTAACAAATATAAGGTTCTTTGCTTTCACCGCTTTCTGTTTTTGTTTGCACATGTAAATCAGCTGATCGTTTGACACTTTTCATGAACTTACAGGAAAAA